AATATGTAATATGTAATATATATATATATATAAATATATATATATATATATATATATATATATATATAAGTGAAAGAGCAATGTTGTTGAACAAGTGTAACATTTTTCTTTTTATTAGCTCTCAGTAGAACAAATCTTTGTCAACAACTTCATCTTCATCTTCATACTCTAATGACCTCAAAAATTAGAGATCATAGAAAGGATTCTCATCGGAGTCACTGGAATTACAAATAATTAAAGGTTTACAAGTAGTGGATTAATATGGAAATTTCTTATCGAAGCATTGGAAAACTCCTGTCATCTGTGTGAACGCGTAATCATCCAACCATAAAACCTTTAAAAACATCGTATCATGGACTTTTGTGTTTGGTACACACATTACAGACATTTCCACGCTGTTCTTTGCACAGGACAGAAACTTATTACAGAGAATGTGAGTAATCATTCAAAAGTTCAAATCTCTGATTAGCGCTGTACATAGCCGTTTTCGATCAAATCTTTATTAAAATCCTGCAATTAAAGGAAACATTTGTGTTTCATACAAGCGTTTTTCTCTTAAGATAGGGCTCTGTAGTAATTGTTCGATAGCGCATATTTTGCTGATTCAAACGCTGTACTTATTTTTCGTAAAGACCGTTCTGTACATGAAGCAGGAAAAATAAAATTGATTCGCATACGGGAATTATGTGTTCATTGGCTGATTCACAATATGCGGAGTAGAGGAGAGAGGGCTTGCCACAATTCATCCACTGCTGCCGCCTACGTACAGTGCGATTTTTGTTATGTGATTATAAACTGTTTTCTAGCTTTGAAATAAAGAACAGATCAAACATCTAACTCTGATTCTGCCAGATTTCCTCTGCACGTTCATGTGCATCTCCTGCCACTAGCGAAATAATAGTTCAATTGAGCGGCCAATGTGGAACATATATTTATCCTGAATTTTACAAAGTTATAAGTGGGTTTTTCAAAACCTGGCCGATTACGGCTTTATTCATAAAGTTGAGCTGCCGAAATTGATAACACTCTTCAGTGGATCCATGAATAACAAAATTGTTGGTCGTAATAAATTCTTCCTCTTTAGTACGCTCGATACGGCCAACAACCTAAGATTCTAGGATAGAAGTAAGACTAAGAATGGAGAATGTCATACGGAGAAGTAATAGAAGAATCTAAGAGAAACTAGTACCTATTCAAAAGCGGACGTCTTGTAACAATTTTCATAAACACTACACTGTTGGTTTGGGTTAGATTCATTCATGTGCACCAGTTTATTAATTTTTTATGTAAATATGACTGTAAAATCAGGGCTATGGGAAAAGGAACCCTACTAGTGAGGTTCAAAGAGGCCTATTGTTATTGAAGTGAGCTGCAAATACAGCTGTAAAAGATTTGTGATGTGTTTGTTAAGCACTGAGATAACATACGACCGCAAAAGACTTTTCATGTTCCCAAATGAAGACGGTATTTTTGAGCGCGGTTCTGGAAATTCATGAGTAATGAAATGGCACGCACTTCCAATTTGGGTAAGGGCAGCTTGAGCGGAGTCATGATTAACAATGCAACACTTTTGTAGGAAAAATCTTCCCCAGCGGTTACGTGAAAATTCCTCGGACTGTACCTTCGATCATTACAACCCCAACTGTTCACTTCACAATCCACCAACAGAATAGAGGATCACATTTGGGCACAAAAACTTTTTCGTAAGATCTATGTGACTACTGCTCAGTAAGGTCTCTGACTACTACCGCTCACCTTGACTTCTGGGTTACTTACAAATTACTGCGGCATATTTGACTTCGGTGCTCTGTTCAATATCATGAGGGTAGATTCAGCAGTTTTTGCGACTTTTCAAATGAAGGGGATTGACGTAACCTACATCATGAATAAAACGAGAATAATGATTTGTTGAGTTATGTTGCGATTATGGATCTGTTCATGTGCAACATAAGAGTTATGCCACAATACATACATTGTTATAAAAATCTTTGATGATATGCTTCTTCAAAAGGCAAAGGATGCGGTTAAACTATAAATAGATGTTATCAATGATTTGAAGCCAACAAGTTGCATTCATACATGTGCTTTACTACCGTGGCAGCTAATTTTATTTGATTAGAAGCTTTGAATGTGCTATCGGCGGCGTACATGATAACGTGCGCAGAACACAGTTGGCGACAACTTAAGGAAGATTCAAGAGATCAGTTAGAAATTCTCATCAGGTGAATGAAATAAGATCTCAGAAAATAGATGAGATAGCTGAAAAAAGAGACAACTGCTGTAATGAACTTACAATTTCAACTTTTCTATACAATTTGTACAAATGATATGTCCACTAAGCAACACACACAACTCACATCTTTACAACCTGTTTAGAGCAGCATGGGAACTCACGCACTTCATTCGGATTGCGTTGATGTTGCCTTAAGCTAGAGGACACGTATCAAGTTTTCCGCTACTGCTCTGCCTACGGCAACCGCATCAACCAGTATCATTGGAAGGCAGTCATTCAAATGTTGCAAATGACGAGCTCTTCATCGGCACTGTCACCACATTTGTTATACTTTCAACTTATACAGTAGCAATGCTTTTTCCACTAATCTTCTCTGTGACACATATACCCACGTAGCATATGTGGTTGTATGTGAGTATGGAATCTGAATCATAAAACTCAGGAACAGTTGAAATAGCCTTTTTAAATCTATCGAAGTTCAAAAGACGAGGTGGGAGCGTGGCTTCAGTGCCATCTTACACACGAGCACCGCACGTTTTTGGCATTCACGTGGTCGAGATCAGCGGACGCCGTCTTCTCCAGTGATGGTGATTCTAGCACAGCGGCTATAGCTATGCTCAATTTTATTCGTTATTCTTACATCTTTGTTATTCCGCCTCTTTACCCTTGCATCTTCTTCTGATTGCTTGTTCAGAAATCATTTATCTCCTGTCTTTGACATGACATATCTACCTCTGAATGAATCTAATCAGTCGAAATGAACATGGCAAGCCTGTGCTGTTGATTACAATATAAATATGACTCATGATGTAATTTCATCATGCACAAACGAAATTGCTTAGCCTTTCGGCTGCAACGTGAAACATTTTGCAATGTACCGCGCAATGTCATGTTCCCCATTGCTCATCTCCTTTAATGGCATTGTCGTGTCTTGTAGCGAAATCGTATTGGCGCGAGTGGCAGTGGAAATGAGATTGGTAAGTCTAGATCTCAGAAGACATTATCTTCACTAAGCGATGAAATGTAACTAAAGAGACTTCTATTTGAGTCAAAACAACACCCATATGTAAAGGTCACGATGTCAGAACCATAACGCTATATCGCAGCGAAAAGAGGTATAAATCTAGCTCTCATTAAATAATTTTTCTTGATTCCCCACCTTTTTGTAATCATTAGATAGCTTGTAAATTCGGTTTTGAATAGCAACCTTGGTTTGAAAAAATTTCCATAAGGCGCCTATGGTAACGAAAAGAAGATTGCGTTTTGCTTCAGGAGTTATTAGCACGTTGTTTCAAATTCATAGCGGTTTGTGGTGTTTTATAGCAAAGCTTCTACTCTAAGGGGACTTTGTGACTAAGAAAACATAATATTGAATAGCATCTTATAAAAGCATTTTTATTTGCGAGAACGGCAAACTCTTTGGATCGTAATCGCATTCTGTGAGATGTGTCAGCTTTTCTTGTGCCCCATTGAGGAACACAGCTTTTTCACTAAAACATTATAACTCGATAGCTTCAAGAATGTACATGGCTAGCTTCTGGAAAGATTCTTAGTGAGCTTACGTGCCAAAGACAAAAATGCGCTTCTGGCTACTTTTTGTTTGGACTTCGTAACTGATCCCATTGGTAGTTACATAATAAAGTTTAGAAGAGAGGAGCAGCCTGTCGTCACGAAAAGATGACATATTGTCGGAAAAATCATAAATGTTCTATGTTCTATAAATATTTTTAATGAGGAAAAACGCCTTATGTCCCAATGATCCGCATTTCTCGGTTGGAAAACAACACCTCAAAAAACTATCGTATCTCAAACGCTTATTGCACATTTTCGCCGTCTAATTCAGGAGAATGAGTCCGTCTTTTTCGACTCATCAGTATTATAATCGCCAGGCAATTGCCGTCATAAAGCAAGCTCTCAACGTTGGACATGCACAGTTTGTGAAAGGGTGATTGGTTCTTTTGCACCTGAGCAGTACGTCGCCTTAAACATTTCCCGTCGTCGTAAAAGAGAGAAGGATTCTGAATAACGCTTTTCTCACCGTTCACCTTCCGTAGAGAAGATGCATACTCTAGTTTCACTTTTTTTGAGGGCAAGGAATTTTATGCATACTTTCCTTGAGTATTCATAAGAATACCAGCTTCATTATATTCTGCAGAAAGATGACCCTTCTCGCATACAATCCCTATGATTGTTTCCACTAACATATAATGGATACACAATCACCTACAAAGTGCGTTATCATTTCTTATCACCATTTTTCTTGCACTTGAGACAATAGCCAATTCATTACACTACAATTGTGCTGACATTTGGTTTGTGGTAGCAACAGTTATGAACGGTTGAACTGTGGGTTAGACTTGGTCTGTCAAAAAACAACTTGCCAGTAACAGTTTGAATTTCTGCTAGAACCTGTTATAGATGGAAAAAGCGAAACAAACATGAAAAAGAGGGATTAATCGTGCTGATAAAGGTGGAGGAGAATACCCACTGGAAGTACTCAGGTGGACCAGAAAGCCTTTGAAAAACCTCAATCTTTTCTATGTTTCTACAGAAGTTCCCAACCTCTAAACTGAACTCGTAATTGAAAAACTGTCGAGAGTAGTAGACGAAGTGCATCGTGTGCAGTAAGCAGTACCATTTTTAACAAACTGTCCGTTGTTTTCTAACATTCAAGAGATGTCACGATGTTTGTGAAATGTATGGAATGAGATAAAAAAAGAGAAAATTTCACGTAAAAAATAAAATAAGAACAATAGTGGCAATACAGGCGTCAATGGCTCAACGGTCTGGAGCACGGGTTCCTGGATAGAGTGAGACCTAGGTTCAAGCCCCGCTTGACACAAAATTTTGCACATTACTCTACATCAGTGGATATAAAGAATAACGATGTAAACACTTGATGAATTGTTCAGTAATGCTTTATGATCTAGTAAGGTAAATGGTTATTGACATAAGGACTAAGAGATAGACATGATTGAAATATGGATGAATACAAATAGGACACTGCAGGAATGCTCAATAAAAGTGCGAATTATGACCTCTCTATATCTGGATTGCCACTGAAAACATGCGCTTTCGAGAAAAAGTGTCGGCGACGCTTTTACTTCCGATAGCGTTACTAAAGCTTCTTCACTGATTTTCCACAGTTATTCACGACATTTCATAGTGACAGTAAGAATGTGATCATCGCCACGATGCAACAACTTTTGTGATGAAAACATAATATCACTCGGACGTACCTGGGTGGCCAGACACATAAAATGACGGTAGCCAGGCACACTCTTGTGTACAAGCCATGCATATTGAGTTAATAGCCAAAACATGAAATATCGAGACTAGGAATGACTCAATGGACTGAAGGAAGTGTTAGCCACCATCCAGTCATTTAGGGCTTCCTTGGAATCACATGAGTGTTCATTATATGAGCTCCACATCAGCAGAGGTACCAGTTCATTATGCCGTAACCTAATAAGGTTAGATTGACGCACAACCCTCACAGTCATATAAATATTCCTCAATATATATTCTAACTATGAATGAAATCATCTATATTTCGACTAACTACTAGAACGACTTTTAGACATTTCCTTTCCCTATTGTGTCCTCCCTCGGAATCTGAATCATCTACGCAAAAATAACAATATATATTATACTTTGTGCTTCATGATTAAATTAGAGGACAAGGGATACAACAGGAACCACATGTATTAGAACTACTTCACAAATCGCAACCGTCAAAAAGATAGTATAGAATACCACGTGAATAATATTAAAGTAAATAATCAGTGATGACAATAATCGCCAAGTCAACAACAGCAGCATAAGTAGAGATAAATGAAAAATCACTTCTCCGGATGGAGTTGTAATAGAAGAAAGAGAGCAGACAACTTTGGTCAACGATTGTGAACATAAAGAAAAAAATGTGACTGTTGCATTAAGAGCTGTCTACATCAAGATTGCGAAGCTTCAACGCATGACAGCTCTTCTCCATGTGTGCAGCTGCTCCGGTGGCTCCACAGTAACCACACTTTGTAAGCCACAGATGTGGACAGCTGAAACAAATATTAATAACACAGAGATTACTTAAGTGAAAATTTTCACTTATAATGAGATTTAGAATACAATAGGCAGAAAATAAGCGTCTTTTCTATTAGCAACAAAGTTTCCACGCTGAATGAACCATCAGAGTTGATAGACAGACGATAAGAATAAAGCTCGGGAGTTGATTGATTTACAAGCGTTGTGCCGTATACTCGACTTTATCGGGCGTCGTTAGGGAGTTAATGCATATCTGGTCTATACAGTGACTTTCAGAATCGAAAACAACAGCAAAGTCAAATGACACTTCAACGAAGGAGCCGATAATGTTGAAGAAATACCAGTAAAGTAACAGAAAACTTTCTATTATATTAATGCAGCTTGGATTAAATGCGCAGTCAGAAGTACTGAACCGTAGTACATATCAATTTTATGGAGATAGACTGTAAAAAAAGCGAAAAGATTATTGTGTCAAATATCACAGTTACAGTCGTGAATTCATCCTGCTTTAACGAAAAGACCAAAGCGTTTTCCATGCAAGCTAGACCATTTGCTACCAAAATCGTTTAAGAGAAAGATACTGCCTTCAATGGATATACAAACGTCGCTAGTCATAGATCTAATTTTCACGAAATTATTGGATTATCCACTAATTTGCCCGCATTATTGTTTTATTCAGTCTTTTTCCAATTCCGAATCAAATTCTTGGCAAAAGGATGTGATATGCTGGGGAATGCTCTAATAGATTTAGCCAAACCCTTGGTTACGACCATAGTACCGTCCCTCTCCAACTAAATGAAATGCTCTACCGCAAAGTGGTGTCTCGATGGAAATATCATGAATTGGCCCGGACTACGACCGTGTGTGCATGCATGATCTCTCGGTTTTCTGGATTGACAGTGCATGACGTTCGGGATTTGCTCGACATTATAGAGACAATCATTGCAGACGTCTATGGGTTACAACTGCAGAGGTGGCCGCAACAGTGCAAGAGAGCGTCCAAAGACTCAGCGTCGTTTTTCCTAGGATAACACTTGATCCTGCAAACTGCAATGTCGACTCGCCACATTGTGAAGAAACCGAGCTATACCACGGTACTACAGCCACCGTAATGCACTGATATGGCTGCCTCGAATTACCAAGTATTTCAGGAGTTGGAGCAGTTTCTGGGGGAGAAAAATTCAAAGACCATAGCCAGCTCAAATTGTGACCTCATCAACATTTTCACTCGGCAGCCTCATTCTTAGGAGCAAAGATTCGATCTTTGCCTAGTAAATAGTTGCATATCGTCGATCATGGTGATGATTATATTTTTGACTGATCGATTGCTTTGAATAAATGATAAATGAATTAGCAAGTGTTGACGTGTGAAAGAAATCACGGGACAACGCAATACTAGTTCCATGAAACCTAAAAAAATCACGTGCATGTGCATCTCTCAAAGATTGATCAATACTTGATATTTTGCTTCTAAGTTATCTAGAACGTACACATTTCAGAACTTGTTATAATGTACATACGCAGTGACGTCATTTTTATCCTTCATAGAGTGTCCACGCCAGATTCCGTGAGCCTTGACACTAGGAGGATCCTTTAAGAGAACCGCGCACATCTTGGAGTACTTTTCGTAGCAAAACCAGCAGATTCGTTCTTTTTTGAGGAGTGGACTCTGAAAAACAAAAAAAAAAAACATTTTCAATAATGTAATTCTAACAGAAGTCGGCGTACGCAGTCACTCGTAACAACGATATACTCGCCAACAAGTGATTTCTGCATCTGACGCAGAGTCGGCGTCGTACCTCTTCTGGTAACTTCATTCGTGGTCCAAATTGATCACAAGTACATGTGCCTAGTCTTGTACCGTAAACAGTAGGTCAACAAGTCAATCAATGATGATTTGTAGTGCTTAATACTTCACTTACAAATTACTGAAAGCAGAGGTACATGTCTACCCACGGACAGGGATTTTAAAAAAAGAATTTTCGCATAAGCAAAGAGTTTCCATTTGATCCCGGTAACTTTTTGAAAGCCTGAATCTCGGAGAATTCACAAAGGCAACTTGCTTTTCTGAATTTTTGTAGCTCTGTAGCAATGAAAATAAGATTATGTTCCACGCGCACCTCACATTATCGCACTTTTAATAGGTCTTCTCATAAGTTCTGGCATTGAAGCGATAAACACCAAATTTATAAACCAGAAGTGATTGGGACTGCTTAACAACTCTTCCTAAAGTATGACCCATCAGCCCGGACACATCTCTGCCATCTCTCAAGCAGCAAATCAATACGACTCCAAGCAGGGTTTTCGAGCATTTTTTGTACCAAATTTATTCATACTTACCGCATCATGGCTGATCAACAAGGCCTTTAGCACAGTTTGATGCTTTACAAGCAAAAATTGGGACATAATATACAGACAGCTCTTGA